TATCTGTCTCTCTTATTCTCTCTGTCTCTATCTGTCTCTCTTATTCTCTCTGTCTCTATCTGTCTCTCTTATTCTCTCTGTCTCTATCTGTCTCTCTTATTCTCTCTCTCTCTATCTGTCTCTCTTATTCTCTCTCTCTCTATCTGTCTCTCTTATTCTCTCTGTCTCTATCTGTCTCTCTTATTCTCTCTGTCTCTATCTGTCTCTCTTATTCTCTCTGTCTCTATCTGTCTCTCTTATTCTCTCTCTCTCTATCTGTCTCTCTTATTCTCTCTCTCTCTATCTGTCTCTCTTATTCTCTCTGTCTCTATCTGTCTCTCTTATTCTCTCTCTCTCTCTCTCTCTCTCTCTCTCTCTCTCTCTCTTATTCTCTCTGTCTCTCTTATTCTCTCTCTCTCTCTCTCTCTCATATGGATCAATATATCTTCAATCATGCAATGAATATTAAGCAATTTGATCCATTTAGTCCATCACTTTGTCTCCCCCCTCCCCCCCCCCTTTCCCCCACTCCTCCTCCTCCCCCTCCCCCTCCCACATCTTATTTGAATTCCCGAGAGAAATTAATGCAAAAATGAATGAGAAAATTGGGTAAAAATGCCGCCGTGCTCATTTTTTAAATATTTTTTTAGGGGGATTGTCTCTGCACATAGATGGCTCTGCTGGTGCTTTAGTCTCAAAGGGAGTCAGTTCGTCGACCTTGTGACCTGACCTGATTTCGCCTTTCCTTGAATTGGCGGAAAAAAACGTATTTTCTTATACTAATGCTTTAAGTATTGGTGCTATTTTAATTATAAGTATTATAATTATGTTATAAAGATTAGTAACAGCATAATAAGATAACGTAAAATAATTTTCGTAAATTAAAGAAAAGGGTAAACAAGCGAGACAGTACTCTTAACTGGCTCATTGGTGACTTAATACAAGCATAGCCATCTATGTATAAAAAACAATCAAACAAGTAAACTCACGGTGGGCATGGCATGGCATGACACGTACGTACGTGTCACGCCCGTAGGCATTGGATTTATCTCCCTTTTATTTATGTCGGTGTGAATTCGTAAAGTTACTGGGTTAATCTATTCGGTTTTCCCCTTGGGTTTTACGTCATTATTTTGCTTAATTATTACTTGCCAAATTATTGTTATGAATTGTTGATATTATGTCTTTATTTCGCCGAATTGGTATCTGATTATTCTCGGTGGTATGGATTCGTAAGCAACATTGGTTTAATCGCCTTTATATATCCGTAAGTACGAATTCGCAACTTTGCCAAATTGATCTGCTTATTTCCGTTAGCTGTAAGTCACTTCTCAACCCCCCCCTTCCCCCCCTCCCCTCCCCCTGATCTCTTTGAGTCAACCCTAAGCCACGTTGTCCCAGATCCTAGCATTGTCTCGATTCGTTCTATTGATGTGGATACTTTCTGACTTCCCCCTTCCCTCCCCCCCTCCCCCCTCATCTCCCCTCATCTCCCCTCCCCCATCCGTTTCGCTTGTTACCTCCCTTCCTCACTCGAGCCTCACTCGACCACCTCCTTTGTTCCGTCAGCTGAGTTTCACCCCCCCCCCCCCCCCCCCCCCTCCCACACTTCTTGTCTTTCACTTCACCCCCACCCCCATAGCACCAAGAGTCATCCCAAACCCCATAGTAGTTGTAACCCCACCGTTCAATCGACACTATTCCATTCCGCAAACTGACAACTCTCCCTCTCGTCTCTCTCCCCCTCGCCCCTATAGCACAGAGACCCTATAGCAGACACAACCCACTGTTCAATCAACTCCATTCCGCAAACTGACTCCTCTCCCTCTCGTCTCTCTCCCCCTCGCCCCCATAGCACCAAGATACCCTATAGCATTCGCAACCCTGTGACCCTATATATAACTCTCTCTCTTTCACGTCTCCCCCCCCCCCTCCCCCCCTACAGTACCAAGAGACCCCATAGTAGTCACAACCCACAGTTCGATCAACTCCGTTCCGCAAAACTGACTCCTCTCCCCATAGCACCAAGAGACCCCATAGCATTCGCAACCCTGTGACCCCATATATTCCGCAAACTAACTCTCTCTCTCTCGTCTCTCTCTCTCCCTACCCCCTATAGCACCCAGCTGAACCCCCTCGAGGCCTTGACCAAAGCTTTCAAACAGACCACAGAGGAAGGCAAGATGAGCGGCCGCGCCATGAAATACCCCTACACCCTTTCGGCCAAGTTGGCGCAGTTCCCATTCTCGTACTACGTCAAGAACCAGTGGGTGTTCAAGTACTACCTGATTGGTGTCGCCGTCTCCATTCCCGTGTTCAGCTGGTTCCAGAAGCAAGGTGAGGAGAGGCTGTTGGATAATTAGTAATAATTGTGATGATTATAATGAGGATAATGATAGTAATAATGGTGGTGATGATGATGATTAAAAAAGTAATGCTAATAATAGTAATAATAATGATAATGATAATGATTGTAATAATGATGGTGGTGATGATAATGATTGTAATAATGATGATGGTGATGATAATGATAATAAATTGTAATGATAGTAATAATAAGAACGATAGTGGTAACTATCATTATCACACACACACACACAGGGAGACAGACAGACACACAATTATTAGCCGCCTGTTTCAATATCCGTTCCCCTAGCACCTTCGTCTCTTACAGAGAGACACAGAGACAGAAACAGACACAAACAGACAGACAAGCATGTACACAAACTTACTAACTTTCATTGGCTGTTCCCTCAAATTCCTCTTCTCTTACACACACACACACACACTCACACTCACACACATACACAGTCACACACAGAGTCACACACACAGTCACACACAGTCACACACACACACACACACACACACACACACACACACACACACAAAATCAAACACAGACAGACAGAGACAAGCATACAGACAATCAATTACACACACACACACACACACACACACACACACACACACACACACACACACACACACACACACACACACACACACACAGTCACACACAGTCACACAGTCACACACAGTCACACACACAGACACACACAACCCCCCCCCCCCCCCCCCCCCCACACACACACACACACACACAAAATCAAACACAGACAGACAGAGACAAGCATACAGACAATCAATTACACACACACACACACACACACACACACACACACACACACACACACACACACATACACACACACACACACACCCACACCCACACACCTAAAGACAGACAGACAGAGACAAGCATACAGACAATCAATTACACACACACACACACACACACGCACACACACACACACACACACACCCCCACACACACACACACACACACACACCTAAACACAGACAGACAGAGACAAGCATACAGACAATCAATTACACACACACACACACACACACACACACACCTAAACACAGACAGACAGAGACAAGCATACAGACAATCAATTACACACACACACACACACACACACAAACAGACAAACAGACAAACTGACAGACACACACAGACTCACTAACCGTCCTCGTCTCTTCCAGCTTGCTCGCCTGCCAACAAGGCAAAGTGGGAAGCGAAGGGAAAGGAAGAGCACTAAACGGGAGATGGAAGAGAATTAACGCTAAACACCGAGAGAGACGGAGGAGAGAAGAAGAGGGAATAAGGGAGAATAAGAGAAAATAAGAGAAGAAAGAAGAAGAGGAGAGAAGAGAGATGATGAAAAGGAGAGACGGATGAGAGAAGAAGAGAAGAAAAGGAGAGGAGAGTGATGATGATGAAAAGGAAAGAGACAGAAGAGAGAAGAGAAGAAAAGGAGGAGAGAAGAGAGAGACAATGATAAAAAGGAGATAGGAAAGTTGTTAATTTCTTTGTAGATATTATATTTTTTTTTTGTTTCCGGAAATGTTTTTTTCTTTCTTTCGAAGTGAAAATTTACCTTTTTTTTTTTTTTTTTTTTTTCCCTCTCTCTCTATTGCGTAATATTTTAATGTTGCTGTATAAAGTTTGGAAATAAAAAATATGTAACTGAATTGTTATTCATTTTAATTTTTATTTTTGTCCTTTTCTTGAAATATATTTGCTATATCTATATTTTTATTATGTAAATGTATCCTAATTTGAATATAGTTTTTCATATATTAAAAATTTCGAATATTAGAAGGAAAATAATTATATAAATGAAAATTAATGAAGATAAGCATACTAATTGAAACTAATTATCTTCAGAAAATACTTCTTGTATCAAAATACTTTTTCTTGTCTCAAAATACTTTTTCTCGTCTCTAAATGCTTTTTCTCATCTCAAAATGCTTTTTCTCGTCTCAAAATGCTTTTTCACTTCTCAAAATGCTTTTTTCTCGTCTCTAAATGCTTTTTCTCGTCTCAAAATGCTTTTTCTCGTCTCAAAATGCTTTTTCTCGTCTCAAAATGCTTTTTCTCGTCTCAAAATGCTTTTTCTCGTCTCAAAATGCTTTTTCTCGTCTCAAAATGCTTTTTCTTTCTCGTCTCAGAATGCTTTTTCTCGTCTCAGAATGCTTTTTCTCGTCTCAGAATGCTTTTTCACTTCTCAGAATGCTTTTTCACTTCTCAGAATGCTTTTTCACTTCTCAGAATGCTTTTTCACTTCTCAGAATGCTTTTTCACTTCTCAAAATGCTTTTTCACTTCTCAGAATGCTTTTTCACTTCTCAGAATGCTTTCACTTCTCAGCAGGGCTTTCACTTCTCAGAATGCTTTTTTCACTTCTCAGAATGCTTTTTCACATCTCAAAAAGCTTTTTCACATCTCAAAAAGCTTTTTCACTTCTCAAAATGCTTTTTCTCGTCTCAAAATGCTTTTTCTCGTCTCAAAATGCTTTTTTCTCGTCTCAAAATGCTTTTTCTCGTCTCAAAATGCTTTTTCTCGTCTCAGAATGCTTTTTCTCGTCTCAAAATGCTTTTTCTCGTCTCAGAATGCTTTTTCTCGTCTCAAATGCTTTTTCTCGTCTCAGAATGCTTTTTCTCGTCTCAAAATGCTTTTTTCTCGTCTCAAAATGCTTTTTTCTCGTCTCAAAATGCTTTTTCTCGTCCTCAGAATGCTTTTTTCACTTCTCAGAATGCTTTTTCACTTCTCAGAATGCTTTTTCACTTCTCAGAATGCTTTTTCACTTCTCAAATGCTTTTTCACTTCTCAAAATGCTTTTTCACTTCTCAAAATGCTTTTTCTCGTCTCAAAATGCTTTTTCTCGTCTCAAAATGCTTTTTCTCGTCTCAAATGCTTTTTCTCGTCTCAAAATGCTTTTTCTCGTCTCAAAATGCTTTTTCTCGTCTCAAAATGCTTTTTCTCGTCTCAAAATGCTTTTTCACGTCTCAAAATGCTTTTTCTCGTCTCTAAATGCTTTTTCACTTCTCAGAATGCTTTTTCACTTCTCAGAATGCTTTTTCACTTCTCAGAATGCTTTTTCACTTCTCAAAATGCTTTTTCACTTCTCAAAATGCTTTTTCTCGTCTCAAAATGCTTTTTCTCGTCTCAAAATGCTTTTTCTCGTCTCAAAATGCTTTTTCTCGTCTCAAAAATGCTTTTTCTCGTCTCAAAATGCTTTTTCTCGTCTCAAAATGCTTTTTCACTTCTCAGAATGCTTTTTCACTTCTCAGAATGCTTTTTCACTTCTCAGAATGCTTTTTCACATCTCAGAATGCTTTTTCACTTCTCAAAATGCTTTTTCACTTCTCAAAATGCTTTTTCACTTCTCAAAATGCTTTTTCACTTCTCAAAATGCTTTTTCTCGTCTCAAAATGCTTTTTCTCGTCTCAAAATGCTTTTTCTCGTCTCAAAATGCTTTTTCTCGTCTCAAAATGCTTTTTCTCGTCTCAAAATGCTTTTTCTCGTCTCAAAATGCTTTTTCACTTCTCAGAATGCTTTTTCACTTCTCAGAATGCTTTTTCACATCTCAGAATGCTTTTTCACTTCTCAAAATGCTTTTTCACTTCTCAAAATGCTTTTTCACTTCTCAAAATGCTTTTTCACTTCTCAAATGCTTTTTCACTTCTCAAAATGCTTTTTCTCGTCTCAAAATGCTTTTTCTCGTCTCAAAATGCTTTTTCTCGTCTCAAAATGCTTTTTTCTCGTCTCAAAATGCTTTTTCACTTCTCAAAATGCATTTTCTCGTCTCAAAATGCTTTTTCTCGTCTCAAAATGCTTTTTCTCGTCTCAAAATGCTTTTTCTCGTCTCAAAATGCTTTTTCTCGTCTCAAAATGCTTTTTCACTTCTCAAAATGCTTCTTGTCCAAAAAATATTTCTTCGCGTCTTGGAAAGTGAATTCAGTTTGAAATTTCACAAAATTCTCGTATTAACAATTTATCCGAGATCCATCAGCATCTAACGGAAAGGGAGACCGAATGAGAGAGAGATAAAACGAGAGGAGAGAGAGAGAAAAAGAGATAGAACGAGAGGAGAGAGAGAGAAAAAGAGAACGAGAGGAGAGAGAGAGAAAAAGAGATAGAACGAGAGGAGAGAGAGAGAAAAAGAGATAGAACGAGAGGAGAGAGAGAGAAAAAGAGATAGAACGAGAGGAGAGAGAGAGAAAAAGAGATAGAACGAGAGGAGAGAGAGAACGAGAAGAGAGAGAGAGAGAGAGATAGAACAAGAAGAGAGAGAGAGAGAGAGAGAGAGATAGAACGAGAGGAGAGAGATAGATAGAACGAGAGGAGAGAGAGATAGATAGAACGAGAGGAGAGAGAGATAGATAGAACGAGAGGAGAGAGAGAGAGAGATAGAACGAGAGGAGAGAGAAATAGAACGAGAGGAGAGAGAGAGAGAGAGAACGAGAAGAGAGAGAGAGAGATAGAACGAGAGGAGAGAGAGAGAGAGATAGAACGAGAGGAGAGAGAGAGATAGAACGAGAGGAGAGAGAGATAGAACGAGAGGAGAGAGAGAGAGAGAGATAGAACGAGAGGAGAGAGAGATAGAACGAGAGGAGAGAGAGAGAGAGAGAACGAGAGGAGAGAGAGAGAGAGATAGAACGAGAGGAGAGAGAGAGAGACATAGAATGAGAGGAGAGAGAGAGAGAGA